TTTTTGCAGGTAACCTATTTCTCAAAGTCCCATCCAGTTTTGTGATACAGATGGTACTCAGCCAAAATATTTAGTTTCCTAACTAAACTAACAACTTGCTGCCTCCTTTTCTCATGCTTTTAGCATCCAGCCTGTGTACGGAGCACAGCACCCTCCTCTGGACCCTCGGCTCACCAAAAAGTAAGTCAATACATTTTTCCTTTTATGCATCTACTTCCATCACCCCTGCACTCTCCCTTATTTTGTTGAAATGACAGTTTCTACTTTGGCCTTTTCTAGGTTCTCTTCTGCCCTATTTTGGACCAGTGGATGAGCAATCGTCTTACTTCCAAATGGTCCATTACTGAATGGGAAATTAACTCACAGTAGAGATTTTGTGTTTTGGGGTTTGGTGTTAGATTTTCTGGTCAAAAGAGAATGTCAAAAGGTCTTTATTGGTCCCTGAAACCAGGTAATTGCTGACCCCCAGGTCTTCTAGCAGGAGATCTGGTCTGGGACTCTTTTGCTTCTGAATATTGATAGCTCTGCCACCTTTTCCTCACTTACGCTATGAGAACTGGCACAAATAGAATATAACTTTACATTGGCATTCTTTAGGTCCTCTTTCTCTTTGACACACTCAGGGAGACCCAGGCATAGATACAGAGTTAAAAGCTCTCTGGATGCTATTTCTCTAGTAAATCTCTAATAAATTATTTTCAAACACAACAGAGACTCTAGTTAAATCTTAATTTTAGAGACTTGTTTCTGGGAAAATTGTAGTTTGTAATGATAGCTGAATGGTTTGGGAGGTATAGACCTAGGTGCTTACCCTTGGGGGGCCTGTGTAATTAATTATATCCACCCTTTCTTCCTTCACAGTCAATGGGGAAGTAAAAATAGGTGCAATTATAATTCCAACTATCTGACATTCTGGAAAAGAGAAAACTATGGAGACAGTAAAAACATCAGCGGTTGCCAAGGGATGGGGCTTAGGGCAGGGATAAATAGAAGGAGCACAGAGGATTTTTAGGGCAGTGAAAATACTCTGTATGATACTATAACGGTGGAAACGTGCTCTTACACATTTATCCAAACCCACAGAGTGTACAACGCCAGAGTGAGCACTAACCTAAACTACTGACTTAGAGTAATTACGATGTGTCAGTGTAGGTTCCTCGATGGTGACGAATGTCCTGCTGTAGTGGGGCTGTTGATAATGGGGGAGGCTGTCCACATACGGGGGAAGGGAGTAGGTAGGAAATCTCTGTACCTTCCTCTTGATTTATTACAAACCTAAAACTGTTCTAAATAAATAAAGTCTTCTACAAAAAGAGGGAAAAAAGATAATGTACATTAAGGTATTTTGAATACCTAGAAAAATGCTATATCAAATATACATTATCAGTATTTTAAAATTTTTTAAATAACTTAGCCAAATATGTGGTATACTTTCTATAATTCTGCCTACTTGTTCTTTTTGTGATTTGGCAAGTATATAGAAGACACAGTCTTCTGAATTACTGTGGGAGCATGATTGCTGTTCTTTTCTGTAAGATGCACACTTTTTATATCAGAAACCATCCAGTATAAGCTCCGTGAGGGCAGGGACTTTGTTTTGTTCACCCCTGTACCCTCAGCACCTAGAACAGCATGTGGCACATAGTAGGCACCGAGTACATGTTCATGGAATGAGACAATAAAGCTATCTCATTTACTTAAACAGTGGGCTTTTCTTTAACGTTCGTTGGTTTGCACCTTTTATATGAGCTCCTCACAAGGGGAGCATGTTTTCTGTGATATCTGTGTAGTCTGTCCATCAAATGGAATGAATTCTCTTTCTGTCTTATCAAGAATAGAGTATCTGGTCTGTTGGTGTGTGTGGCAGCCACTATTGATTACCTTGGTAGTCATCCCTGACCCTGCTTGCTTTTTCCATGGTTAAGAACCATAATTTTATGCAGATATTGAGTAAGCAAAAATACACTTAGGGCAGGTATTAGAATTAGTTTAAGCCTTTTATGATAACTTTTTGGTAATCCCAGTGACTGGTCTAGGGTGGTCTCATCTCATTTGTTCTGGCCAATAAAAGAAAGTCTTTTGAGGATGGGTTCTTGGAAAGATTTTCTTTTTTGATCAGAGAGAGATCATTCGATGAAGGAAGCCTCTTTTTGCTGCCACTCATCTGTTCCCTGCTTTTTGAATGTGACAGAAGGAAAGGAAGATGCCGAAAGCTCTGGCAGCTAACTGGTAATCCTGAGGGAAGGGCCAAGAGAATTGCAGACACACCAGGCCTGAGTCCTGACATTGTGGTCTTTCCTATTAAGCATCACAGTTGAGTATTCTGTTGTAACCAAAAACATTCTGGTCACAGCCAGGAGTTATTGATTAATAATAGATCCATTC